AGACTCGAGAAGTTTAATTTGAAAATACAATTAGACAAATCAGAATTCCTACACAAAACAGTCGAATTCTTAGGACATGTAATTACACCAAATGGAATAAAACCGAATCCAAAAAAGATAATGGCAATAAAAAAATTCCCAATACCAAAGACGGTGAAGGAAATAAAATCATTTTTAGGATTAGTAGGTTATTACCGAAAATTCATAAAGAATTTTGCCAAATTGACCAAACCAATGACATCTTGTTTGAAAAAAGACAAAAAAATAATACACACTGCAGAATTTCTTAATAGCTTTGAAACTTGTAAAAATGTATTAATAAATGACCCAATATTACAACATCCTGACTTTAAGAAAACTTTCTTATTGACAACCGATGCATCAAACTATGCAATTGGAGCCGTTTTATCTCAAGGTCCTGTCGGAGCTGATCTTCCCATTGCATACGCATCAAGAACTTTAAACCCAGCTGAATGTAATTATTCGACGATTGAAAATGAACTTTTAGCAATCGTATGGGCAACAGAATATTTTCGACCTTATCTTTTTGGTAGAAAATTCACAATCTTGTCAGATCACAAACCTCTACAATGGCTATTTAATGTTAAAGAACCAAGTTCTAAACTAGTCAGATGGCGACTAAAACTATCTGAATTTGATTATGAGATCAAATACAAAAAAGGAACATTAAACATGAATGCAGACGCACTATCAAGAATTCCTGCAATACAACTTCATGCCATTCAAAAATCAGATCCAGATGCCAGATTAACATCTTCAGATGAAGAATTTCATAAAAAATTAGGATTAATGCTGAAAGATACACCATTATGTAATGATGAAATCATAGCAAAATACTTTACAGATTCTAAAGTATATCTTCTTAAACAAAGCGAGATAGCTAAAGAAAAAGAGATAACAATGTCTGAATCATCTCAATCAACAAAGGCAGCATCAGAAAAGGAACCTGAAGAGGAACCTAATAAAGTAAAACCCAAAATAAAGATATTATCACAACTAATAATACCTCCAAGAAAAGAGAAAAAAGAAATTCCCATAGAAATAGGAGAATCTTCGAAAACTCAAAAAAGTAATAGACAAATAACACCAACTAATCGTTTTTCAACAATTTCAGCCTTGTCTGAAAATAACCAAACAATACATACGTCTACTATACTATACATCCAATATTAGGAGCTCCATATACTAAGAAACATGTAAATGTATTTGGAAGTCAAATTGTATTTCGATATTCCAATAATAACACAATTAGAAAAGAGATAATCAAACAATTTGGTAATAAAAAGAGAATAATATTCTTCTTACCAAATAATCCAACAACATCACAAATTACTAATTTAGTAAAGGAATACATGCCTTGCCTTCATTTCCTAAATAAATCTTTAGAAACTATTGTGATACGAGCATTACAAGAATCGTTTAATTCGAATTCATTTACTTTGTACATCTCGAACTCTTTATTAGAAGACATCACAGAAGTTAATCTTCAACAACAGAAAATTCAGCAATATCATGAGACTAAAACCTCTCATAGAGGAATCACTGAAAATATTGCAGCCTTAAAGAAAAGATTCTATTGGCCCAATATCGAGAAAGACGTATGAACGTCAACCATACAAAATCATATTCAAACCAACACCCATTGGTATGAAACCCTTTGAACATATTTATATTGACACGTATATAATCAATAACCAGAAATTTCTGACCATTATTGATAGCTTTTCAAAATTTGGTCAAGCCTCTCTTGTAAATACGAAAACAGCTGTTGAGATATCATCACAGTTATTGAAATATTTTAGTGATCATGGAATACCCCAAAAAATCACATCAGATAATGGAGCAGAGTTCAAAAATGCTATAATGACAGATCTTTGTACATTATACAAAATTGAGTTTCATTACACAACTCCAAGAAACCCGAACTCGAATAGTCCAATCGAACGATTCCATTCGACACTACGTGAAAGTATAACGAGTTTAAAACTCCAAAACCCGAATAAGAGTATTATTGATCTAATGACAATCGCTATATTGAATTATAACAACAGTACTCATAGTACAATGAATCACACCTCTTTTCAAGTGATTAAAGGAGATTTGAATTATGCCATACCAATCGAACAAACGGAAAATAAACTAACAACTGACTATATAACAAGTTTAGCAGAATCCCTTGCGAATTTGAATAAAGAAATTCAAGAGAAATTATTAGCGAAACAAACAAAGTCTTTAGACTCACGTAATAAAAATCGTGAACCTGAACCAGAACTACAAGATCCAATCTTTGTAAAACAATTTAATAGAGACGAGATAAGTCCGCGTTATGATAGCAAAACACAGAATCGCTTTGCTAAACAAAATGTTAAACGACAATAATTTATTTCAGGTACTCCGAGATTAATCCTTTAGTATTCCTAACTCTCGTTGGAGTCACCCAAGCGTATACATTGATGACGGTGGAAAATCCTATTTTACTAATTTCTTTAGGAACTACTTACGTAACAACTCAACATAACACGGCCTATTATCACATAAACACGACAATTATCATACAAAGTATCCATAAACTGGAAATTACCTTAATGAAATTATCTGACACTCTTAACAAAACAACATGGTCAAACCAATTCGTTGCACTGTTTCAAACAAATATTGAAAACAGTCATTCTCAAATTAAGATTATGAAACAAGTAATCAGAACCTATCAAGACCGGAAACGTAATAAAAGAGGTCTATTAAATTTCATGGGCACAGCACAAAAATGGCTCTACGGAACCCTAGATGCTGAAGACGGCGCAAGATATGATTCTTATATCCAGACGCTTAATGATAATCAAAAGACTCTCAATGAAGATCTAAAAACACAAGCTCAAGTATTGAAACAAGTTACAAAAACATTTCACGATCAATTTTTAACTATTGAATCTAACCAAAAGGTTATCACAGGAAAACTACAAAATATTTCCTTGGAAAACCAAAATTTCCACTCAATGTTAACTTTCAATCTAATATTGAACAATATCAATATTCAAAGTAATAAAATAAGGAATCTTATTGATCATGTGCAATTAGCAATAAATTTTGCACAATTGGGAATAATACATTATACTATTTTACAGCATAATGAAATAAATCAAATATTAACAAATATACCCAGAAGTCAGCAAATACCTTTTGATAATAAAATCAAGTATTACGAGACAATGAAAACACAAGTAAAAATCCAAAATGTGTTAATTATATTTGTTATACACACACCAATGATTGATCCCAAGTCCTTTATATTGTATGAAATCTATCCAATTCCTATCCAAGAACTTACCATTAGGAATAAGTACCCTTACCTATTACTTACTACGGACATTTACTACAATACTTTATGGGAATGCCCGAAAGTCGAAAGTGTGTACCTTTGTAACCAAGAAGAGCTCAAGCAAGAAGAATCATGTGTCTATGACCTGATTACTGACCTACCACAACAATGTCCTTTCACTAAAGTGAAATATGAAAAACCAACAGTGAGACAACTCCCGAATGGACAACTATTTGTCATCCCTAAGAAAAGTCTGACTATAGTTATTCAATGTGACAAGACAAACCATATGGAAATAATAACAAATCCAACATCCAACGCTAGTTTCGTTTGAAAAATGCTGTGTGAAAATACAAAATCAAAATATCCCATATGGTGCAGATTTTTCCGCGGGCACTGTACATATATTGTATCAAATTAGACATTTTATCTGCAGTTTAATTAACTTTACAAAGCAAAAAACAAAACAAAGCAAAAACAGAAACATAACCTTAAAGGCCTGCCAACTGTCAAAAATTGTATACTTTACGCGTTGTCTACATATTTTACACGTTGTCTACATAGATTACACGTTGTCTACATAGATTACATAGTTTACATTGTCTACGCGTTGTTTACACCAGACGTAGACAATCTTTGTTTACGCGTAGATGCCCATCCCTGCTATATTCTATTCAATTTTGTGCGTGTATGATTTGTAATACCCATTAATATTCTTTTTTTACTACTAACCTGAGAAGTAGTCATTATTCAATCTATTTTTCTCGGAAAAAATTGAATTTCTCTCCCTAGGTTAATAATGAAAATAATGAAAAAAAACCTAGGTCAATAATGAAAATGACGTCATGACGCAAGGATATTGTCATAACGTTACAGGTTTCTATTGATTTAATTTCAATTTCAAACTGTCAATTTAATCAAAAAAACAGGTTCCTGTATGTATCATAAGAAATTACCATAGATGTTGATAGAGGGCAGCACTTTCAACTAGAAAAAATAATTTGAGCTCAGATTTTAAACTTATTTTTTATTTTCTACTATAGCAGTAGTAAAAAAAAATTCTATATATTCCACGGTAGAGAAAGTCATTATATACCTTACGCATTATAAACCTCGGCGCTACGCGCCTCGGTTTATAAAAGCGTTCGGTATATAATGACCAACTTCTCTACCTAGGTATATAATGTACTATTATACGCTTAAATTCTATTTATTTTCTGTTTTCTTTAAATTATCCATCTAGGTATACTTCTTTATTTTGGTTAATTCTTCCTTCAGTTTTCATAACCTGAGCACTGACACGCACTGGAGTTGGGTTGTCTTTACACTCATCTCTACATCCTTTTGTTAGATTAAGTAATCCTATCAATATTAACCCATTCCCAAAATGTTTCTATTGCCTTCCTATATTGAAAAGCACCAACAAATTATGAAAATGAAGACCCTAAACAAACTTTCCAAAAATGAATAGGCTCAATTTTGGTCAGAAGGGTGACGATTGTTATCGAATAGGCACTCGACCTAGTCCACTCCGTATGTAAGAATGATAATAATGTAATTCGAAAAAGAGGGGCAGCCGTTTCATTGTAGGTCGAAAAACGAGAGGTAGTTTATAGTAACCTCTTCGCAACAAAGATACCGCACCGTGTAAAATTTAAAGCTCGGATCGTTCGCAAAGTGGGGAGAGGGTACCTACTCGGTAATGTCGGTGGAAAAAGTTTATCCTCGTATTTCCGAACACGTGGTGACTCGGCGCGGCGGTATGGTTTTATTCAAAATTTACATAGTTTAACCGTTTACCTGTGTAAAATAAGTTTCGAATTACAAACGCGAAAATGTCGAAAACTAAAGAAAAAGAAGAAACGGGTGAAAACTCTTCGGACGGAGGTTTCAAAATGAAAAAAGAGTTGACGTTACTTGACGGAGTTGCGATTATAGTGGGTGTTATAATTGGTTCCGGTATTTTTGTTTCGCCGAAGGGTGTTTTAAGGTATTCTGGATCGATGGGGATGGCTATCATTGTGTGGGTTCTATCTGGAATATTATCTATGCTTGGTGCGCTATGTTATGCCGAATTAGGTGAGTAAATTTTATTCTCAATAATTATTGGTTGAACTTTAAAAGTTGATTGCGTATGTCGGTGCGCGTCTTCAATGTAGGTTTTTTAATTCGTACTGTACCTATCTACTTTTTTATTGTTTAATTAGGCCATTTATGCATGTATTTGAACTTTTAGTTAATTTAATAGTTAATCATCAAAGCTGTGATCCATTCTCCAATATGCTATAATTTAATTGATAAAGTAGAGTTTTTTTGCGGCAGCTGTGCGATCTTTATGTATACCTACCCTACTGATATTTAACTAAATATTTTACTAATGTTAATTTATTAATGTAGTAAACTACGTACGAACGTACACATTAGTATGTACTTAGTATGTAGTTATTTTGGAATTAGAAAAATAATTACCTATAGGTTTATAATTAATGCCTAAAGAGATACACGCGCGATAATTAATCTTTGGTGTTAATTGAGGTTTATTCACATTAGTAGATACCATAGACTTATTACTTAGAAGTGTTCTATGTAAACACTGTCTGTGTCAATTACATATTTTATTTATATTAGAATCACGTTACAATGCAATAGGCATTAAATGACAACGTGTTTTGTAAAATTCAATAGGGAAATATGGCACACAGTTGCGTCATCTTAAATTTATAAGTATAGATTTTGGTATAAGGAGAGGTCATTATATCATATCCTTGACCACAACCTACGGTGTTTATCATTCTTCCAAATAAAAATTTGACATTGAGGATCGAATCGATATTATTTTCTACACATTTTTATCTATAATAATAAATTGGGGATAAATTCGCATTTAAGAGGAGAACGAGGTGAAGTCCCAAGGCAAAAGGCCCCAACTAAGGTCTGTTCAACACCTAGGAAAATAGCTTGTAGAAGATCCTTGTAACTTTTATTCTTTAGAATATGCCTAGGAGAGTTTTCTTTTTCTCTTTACTCTTCCTGTTTGATTTCATTCATTTTGTTCCACAATTTAGGTATCCTAGGGATAAATTTTGCGTTACTTATTTGTTCTTCGGTTTTATTAAAGTTCAGTCCTATATTTGTTGAATCATTTTCATTAGCCAAATCCGAGGCCAAATCTTTTATCGTTCTTTTGTACCCACCTATCTCTTTTTTTTTGTCCGTTATTATTATATATTAGTATCGGAGATGATTCAAAAATTGATCAATTGATTTTAGTTGAATAGGTAGTTGTTGTTGCCTTTTCATACGATCTTTTCTGTTTTTTGTTTGTTTTTCACCTGTTTTCGCCATTTGTGTTTCCAACGAAAAAGTTATATTTAAAATATATAGGTATATTGTCCATCGTTTTTAATCTGACACTTTCCGTATGAGGAGCGAGGGGGTGAAGTATATGGCAAAAACAGATGTGACGTCAGGTGACCAATGGCGTTCTAGTTCTAATGTAGGGTGCCACCGCTCACATTCCTTTCGAGTATCAGATTAAAATCGACGGACTTTATGTTTATCGATGCAGATCCTTTTCCCTATTCCCCATTCGTTAATAATTAAAATTGTCATGCTTTGGATCATGAATCCTTATCAAATTGTTGCACCCACAAAAAGTCAATGTTTGGTGCGTGATTGTATTTAAATATAACCCAGATTTTCTGGTACACATTGATAATTTGATAAAAATAAATTGTTAATATTTTTGGGTTCAACAAAACGATGCGAAAAGTCACACAGCGGGCGACACAATGACTGTTCTGCATTCGAGGTTCGGAGGTCGGATTATTTTTTGATTTGATGACATTAATTAACCGCAAGATCTCGTGATTTGACTAACACCATTGAAAAGTTAAGTCTATGTTAATAACCCTCAAAGGTTTCCAAATCTAATATAGCTATTAGATTATCCAAGATGCTGTCAAACTTAAAATAAAAATGTCCGCCAAGAGGCACACAAACCCTTTGTTTATGTGTCATTCAATGTGTCACCAAATTTTTTTTAAAAAATAGTGCTCATTGTTCATTTGCGTTTTGATGCTCAAAACTGTTGATTTTACTCGTATTTTTATTAATGTTAGAAATAGTGTATTTAAGTAGTCCGCCAACACATTAACAGCAGAGTCAGGAAGATTCAAGATATCCTAACTGAGATATCGTCCCATCCAGAAGAATTTCTATTTTTTATACTCAGTTTCTGAGCAATCGTACAGTAGTATGAATTAATATTATCTGCTTTCAAATTGGAAGCACATATTTTTTTTTCGCGTAGGTCGTTACTCTTTTTGTTTATTGGATGAGGATCTTCCTTGCCTGTTTCATCGTCTTTCTGTAGATGCTCCTGTATCCATTATTTAAAGTAGGTCATAAAAATATATTATCAATATCGAGCGCAAACTATCTTAAGGAATGAAGACACCTAAATTTTCCAGAAGCAATTCTCAAACTTTTTGTGATACAAGGCTTTTTCTTTTTCGATTTTAACTTGCCTAACGGAAATGCATGGTTGAAAATTTCAATATTCTCACAATGAACTGAATGCAGAGCATTTACCTCCAGCAAAATCGTTCTCCAATCAAATCTAGAGCAAACTTGTGAAAAAACAATACAAATCAAAGCACAACACTTGGCGGTGGAGTTGCAGCAAATAAATATTTTCACATTTTAAGGGTAGGTCCTGGGTGTCCAAGTGAAATGTAGGTAGAGCAATTTTGCCCAAACAATAGGGATTCCGTAATTGGGCAGAAACGGCCAAAAATTGAGACGCACACAATAGAAAATGAGTAGGTATTTAATTATGATTATTAATGACATAAAGTAATGACGTTATGGTTTGTGTTTGTGTCAAATGTTTGTGTGCCTTTTGCCGGCCATATTTTGTCACGTGTTTTGGATAGTCTAATATGCTTAAATTATTGGCATAGGTATACCTAGCGAAATGCAAGCCCAATAAATAGAATTTTCTATAAATAATTCCTATGTATTTCCTAGATATGGGGAAAATATTCATAGAATAGGTACCTCTACAACAAAAAGCAAACTTTACCTTTATGTTTTAATTTCGTGGCTTAGAGGACAGGACCAAAAAAAAAGAAAACTAGTTAATTACAATTTTTAAGCCAAAATAAATAAATAAATAAAATAAAATAAATTGTTTCTTTCAGTACTTACTTGAACTATTGCTTCTGGAGTCCGTTCAGGATGAATAAAGGCACTTCTCAACATATTATTTTAGGGATGCAATCAATTTTTCCAAAAATTCGTTATTTTGAAATTGATTGCATCCCTACCTAAAATAATATGTTGAGAAGTGCCTTTGTCCATCTTGAACGGACTCCAGAAGCAATAGTTTAAGTAAGTACCTACTGAAAGAAACAATTTACTTTATTTTATTTATTTATTTATTATGGCTTAAAAATTGTAATTAACTCACAACAGTATATTTATTGTTGTACTAAGTGCCTGTATTTCCCTTTTCCAGGGCTTGAAAAGGGAAATAGTTATTTTCCTAACAAGTGCGCAAAGTGATACTTTCTCGCACGAAAAAGCAGTTAGACGAACGACGCGAAGCGGAGTTCGGATAAGCTTTGAGTGCGGGAAAGACACTTTGCGCAAGTGTTAGGAACAATGGGTGGTATGAATAAAAACGAAGTACTTACTACTACTACAAGTATTAGTATGTTCTACTTAGTATTTACTTCAAAACGAAGTAGATACTACATTTCGAAACGACCGGAAATTAGTATCTACTTCGTTTTGAAGTAAATACTACATAGAACATACTAATACTTGTAGTAGTAGCAAGTACTTCATTTTTATTCATACCACCCAATACTTTTTCTACGAGTTTTTAAGATTTGCATTCAGAGGAGCTGTATACCTAGTCTTCTTGAATGTTTCCAGGTGCTCAAAATTGGTTGTGCTAACGAGGTTTACTTGAAATTTGAATAACTCGTTAAGGTTTGTTTTTTCTGTCAAATTTTTGTATGGAGGAGTATAATATATAATATATCCGTGCGTTCGTTATTTTGGTCTGAGTTCTCCGAGCTTGACTTTACCGTTCGTTTATTTAAAAAGTGTACTCGGTGCAGCCTCATTCGCGTTCGTTTATTAAAATTTCCGGTACTCTTATACAGCGTTCAACTGCTCCGTTCGCTCGCTGGTCACGTGATTACGGCTCCGCTCAGCTCGCTCTACACTTTGAGCAAAATACCGAACGCAAGGTATATAACATAATATATATATAATACATAATATATTATAATATATAATATATAATATAATATATAATACTGATATATATTATATAATACTGATATATATTATATATTATATATTATATATGTTACGGTTAATATGCAAACTTGGATAGTTTTTTAACTAGCTGGATAGTTCACAAACTAACCAACCCACTGGCTAATATGAAAAACATATTTTCTAGTAACACAAAATAGCCAAACCTTTGGCTAGTTTACAAACTAGCCAACCAATTTTCTGGCTAATTTACAAACAAAGTTAGGTTAAAGAATTTGAAGCTTCTTTAATAGATCTGTATAATAATAAAGCAAATAATTCCCAACTTTACAACGAAGGAAATCTGGCAAAATATTAGCTTGTATGGACGATTTGTTTGATATTATTAAAGAATCTCACCAATCAACTAGGCGCGGCGAAAGACAAGTTACAACAAAGCTAATAAATCAAAAATATTCAAATATTACCCAAGAAATTGTAACTTTGTTCCTCGATGGATGTGAGAATTGCCAGGTAAAAAAGAAAAAATCAAAAATTTTCATTTTATTCATCTCCAATTTATTGAATAACAAATACCATGAATATTAAACTTTATTTGTAAATTAGCCAGAAAATTGGTTGGTTAGTTTACAAACTAGCCAAAGGTTTGGCTATTTTGTGTTACTAGAAATCATGGTTTCCAAATTAGCCAGGCTGCAATGGATAGTTTATAAACTAACCAGCTAATTTAGTTTTCTCAATAATTTCAAGTAAATTAGCCAAGACTTTTGGTTAGTTTGCAAACT